TAATGTGCAGGAGGTTCCCTTGCCCATATTTAACTTGTAGCCATGAGACTTCATAGGATCTGGAGTCAGTGTCGAGGACTCCCAGAGTAGCTCCGTCCTGACTGTATATCACTGTGCCAGTGGGATAAGACATACTCAGGATTGGTGTTGGGAATGCTATGACTATCTCAGTATGACTGTGACAGGTTCATGCTTGACTATTCTGGGGGGCAGCTCTCTCAATTTTGGCACAGGCTCCTAGGTGTTAGTCAGAAGGACTTTGATGAGTTGATAAGGCTGGGTTTGCTGTGTTTGTTTCTGGTGCTTAGATTGATGCTGGTAGTCTGGTTTCATTCCTTAATGCCATTTCTGTAGAGGTTTGATACAACAGAGTGGCCTACTAGACCACGCAGAGGGCAGTTAAGAGTCAATCACATTGCTGTAGATCTGGCGTCAAGTGTAGTCCAGACCAATGGTAAGAGCGTCAGATTTCTTTCCCTAAAGGACATTAATGAATCACATTAATTCTTAACAATTGACAATGGTTCATGGTCACCTTTAATCAGGTTTATTGATCAAATTTGATTCCCACCAGCTGCATTGGGGTTTTGAAGATATTCAATGGTTGATCATTCAGAGATCTCTAACATATATAATTTCCAAGATTGACAACCCTCCGAGTGAAGAATTTTCTCATCCTGATCTTAAAATGCCAACTCCTTATCCCGAGTTTTTCATCCCTAGGCGTGTGTATACTCTCCATGTGGCTGAGCTCGTCCTTGCTTTGAACGGCTTCTCTTTCAACTCATATCATCTCCTCCAAGTCAAAGGTGGGGCTAAATGTACCTCCTGGGTCCCAGGATACTGTGTACGATTCTGGTCTCCCTGCTGTAGGAAAGATGTTGTTAAACTTGAGAGTGTACAGAAAAGATATACAAGGATGCTGCCAGGGTTGGAGGGTTAGAGCTATAGAGGCTAAATAGGTTGGGGCTATTTTCCCTGGAGTGTCAGAGGCTGAGGGATGACCTTATAGAAGTTTATAAAATCATGAGGGGCATGGATAGGGTGAATAGCCAAGATCTTTTGTCTAGGGTGGGGGAGTCCAAAACTAGAGGGCATAGGTTTGAGATGAAATGGGACAGATTTAAAAAGGACCTGACAGGTAACTTTTTCATGCAGAGGGTAGTGTGTGTATGGAATAAGCTGCCAGAGTAAGTGATAGAGGCTGGTACGATTATAACATTTAAAAGGCATCTGGATGGATACATGAATAGGAAGGGCTAAGACCTTGCGTATGACTCTGTGATTTCATGACTCTGTCAGGCACTTTGTGGGGTATGTGGAACATTCCTTGTTCAAGTCTTGCTCAGGGCCCCCATCCACAATTCTTTTTCCAGAACGTTGATGATGTTTTTGGGCCCGGTGTGTGAGGGTGTGGGTAAGGACATGGGAGGAGGTTTTCAGGCCCTAAAATTATTGAACTCGATATTGAGTCCAGAGGCTGCAGTGATGCCAAGTGGAAAATGAAACGCTGTTCTTCCAGTTTGCTCTGAGCTTTGCTGGAGCACTGCAGCAAGCCTGAGACAGAGATGTTGGCCAAGAAACACAGTGATGTGTTGAAGTGGCAGGCAATCAACAATTCAGGGCCATTTTTGCAGACAGAATATAGGTGTTCTGCAAAGTGGGTCACGTAATCTGCCTGGCCTTTTTTGTGCTTTGTTTACTCTCCGTAGAGAGGATCTGCTCTCTCCCTTCACACCTTTAACTTACACCCATTTCACATCTTTAATTTACACCCATTTCACATCTTTTTCTCTTTCACCGCCATTAACAACCCCTTTGTCTTTTGTACTTGGCCTCTCCACCTGCCCCCTTGCTCCTCTGCAGCCTCTGTCAAAAGTATACAAAAAAAATGTTTTCCAATGTCTTTTAATTCTGAAGAATAGTCATACCGGACTTGAAACATTAACTCTGTTTCTCTCTCCACAGATGCCGCCAGACTTGTTGAGTTTCTCTGGCATTCTCTGTATTTGTTTCAGATTTCCAGCCTTGCAGTATTTTGCTCTCATTTGAATGTATATTCTCTAGCTAGGGAATGATATTCTTCCAGCATCCATACTCTTAAAGTTTGATATGAGATCCCCTTCCATTTCTGTAAACCTGAAATAGAGGTCTACTATTCTCAGTTTCTCTTTGCAGGGCAAACTGTCATGATAAGAATCAATCTAGAGAAGATTCGCTGCATCCTGTCAAGGCACCTATGTTCTTTCTCAGCTTAAAAGGCCTTTGCTTTATATGTGGTCTCACCAAAGCCTCTAGATAATTGCAGCAAGACTTCCTTGGTCTTATACTTCAGTCCTCTTGCAATCAAAGGGACGATACCATTTGCCTTCATATAATTGTTTGCTGTACCAACATGTTGCCAGAACTGGAGGTTTTCAGATATAAGGAGAGGCTGGATAAGCTGGACCTTTTTTACTAGAGCGTCGGAGGCTGAGGAGTGGCCTTACAGAGGTTTATAAAATCATGAGGAGAATGGATAAGGTGAATAGCAATGGTCTTTTCCCTAGGGTGAGTGAGTTTAAAACTAGGGGGCATATTTTTAAGGTGAGAGAAGAAGGATTTAAAAGGGACTTGAGGGGCAACTTTTTCACATAGAGGGTGGTTCGTATATGGAATAAACTGCCAGAGAAAGTGGTAGATGCAGTTCCGGTTACAACATTTAAAAGACATTTGGATAGGTACATGAATAGGAAAAGTTTAGAGGCAAGTGGGACTAGGTAAATTTGGGAAACTTGGTTGGCATGGATGAATTGGACCAAAGTGTCTGTTTCCATGCTGTATGACTCTATGTCTCGTGACTCTGACAACTTTCTGTGATCTGTGTAATGCGAACCCCCTCCCCCCTCACCGCTGAAACCTTATGGATATCAACATTTGCTGTAGGTTTAAGCTTGCAGACAACTCAACCATGATATCTCTCTCTCTCTTTCCTGGACCTCTCTGTCTTAATCTCTGGTGACCGCCTCGAAACTGACATCTATTTCAAGCCCACCGACTCCCACAGCTACCTGGACTACACCTCCTCTCACCCACCTTCCTGCAAGAATGCAGTTCTCTCCTCCCAATTCCTCTGCCTGCACTGTGCCTGGTCCCAAGATGGGGCATTCCACTCCCGAACATCCCAGATGTCCTCTTATTTCAAGGATCGCAACTTACCCCCTTTGGTGGTCAAAAATGCTCTCGACCATATCTCTTGCGTTTCCCGCATCTCTGCCCTCACATTGTCTCCCTGCAAGAAAAACAAACACAGAATCCCCCTTGTCCTCACATATCACCCCACTAACCTCTGGATTCAACGTATCATTCACTACCACTTCCGCCACCTGCCATCTGACCCCACAACCAAGGATATATTTCCCTCCCCACTCCTACCTGCATTCCATAGGGACCGCTCTCTCCACACTCCCCACTAGCCCCAACACCCCCGGCACCTTTCCCTGAAGCCGCTGGAGGTGCTACACCTGCCCCTAAACCTCCCCCCTCACCTCCTTCCAAGGAACCAAACAAACCTTCCACATCAGACACAGGTTCACCTGCACATCCGCTAATGGGGTCTACTGCATCTGCTGCTTCTGTTGTGGCCTCCTCTACATCGGTGAGACCACACGGAGGCTTGGAGACCGCTTTGTAGAGCACCTGCGCTCTGTTTGTGACAAATGACAACACCTTCTGGTCGTGAACCGTTTCAACCCCCCTTCCCACTCCCTGGATGACATGTCCATCCTGGACCTCCTCCAGTGTCACAATGACACCACCTGGAAACTGGAGGAGCAGCACTTCATATTCCGCCTCAGGAGGCTACAACCCAATGGTCTCAATGTGGACTTTACTAGTTTCAAAATTTCCTCATCCCCGGCCTCGTCCAATGACCACCCCTCCCTCTCATCCCCACCTCCTTAACCTGACACAACCTGTCCATCTTCTCTCCCACCTATCCGCTCCTCCCACCTACCTGCCTGCCACTACCTACCTGCACTCACCCATCACCGCCCCATCTACCTTCCCCAGCCCCACCCCTCTCTCTATTTATTTCAGAGCTCCATTCCCCTCCCCCATTTCTGAAGAAGGGTCCCGAACCGAAATGTCAACTTTCCTGCTCTTCTGATGCTGCCTGACCTGCTGTGTTCCTCCAGCTCCATACTGTGTTATGTCAACCATTATGAAGCAAGGATTCTTTATTTCATTGGTACCGGGTCTTTCCAAATATTGAGAGAAAGTCAAACAAAAAGAGTAAAACAGCATCAACAATGGATTCACATCTCAGTTGAGGAAGCGTTTGCCAATCTGCTCTCTCTGGCAGAGCCAGCCCTCCCTCGAGAAAATCACTATAGTTATTATCCAGCTCCTCTGCTTGGTGCTCTCCCTCACTATTGCCACCGGCTGCTGGGAAGCCTAGTTACATTAGTCTCTCATGTTTTAAAAAATATTCTGCTTTTTCATTCTTATTATCAAAATGAGTATTCTCACACTTCCCCACGTTACTCTCCCTTTGCCAATTTCTTGCCTAATCAGTACCGACTGTCTGTGATTTTCGAAGCCTCTTTGAGTCCCCTACCTTACAGCTCTCTTAACCCAGCTAGCTATGTATTATTGACATGTTTGGATACATTACAGTGGGTTGTCTCATCACTGTAACTGATAGAAATTGTAAATGACTGAGGGTCCAGTAATAATTCTTGTGGCAATGCATCATGCCATTCTGAAAAACGTCTGTTTATTTCTACCCTTTCTCTTCTGTCCTTTAACCAATTATCTATCCATTCTAACATGTTTTCCAAAGCCCAAGAGGCTTAATCTTGTCTTCAACATTCTCCTGTAAATCTTATGTGCTTTCTGCAAATGTTTCATCGACTGTCTGTGGTAAGCACCACCCACCACCCCCCCCACCCCCTTGTCTGATATTTGGTCCTATTCCCTTAGATATGAGGTAACACATTGTATATTTATTCCTCCTGTAGATACCAACAGAGGGCCTGCCTCGTGACTTTGACAGTGTGGAGCTCCTGGATCTACTGTTTGATCAAAAGGATGGGATTCTTCGCCATGAGGGCTTCCATACAGATGGCAGGGGGAGCATGGAGAACTGGGGAATGGCACAGCCCAGTGTAAGGAGCAGCGTAATCCCCAAACACCCCTGCCACTCATAGAGTATTGTAACCCAGAGTCACCACCACACAGAGCATTGTAACCCTGATCCAGTTGGAACCCAGAGTCACCCCCACAGAGCATCGTGACCCTGATCCAGTCAGAACCCAGAGTCACCCCCACACAGAGCATCATGACCCTGACCCAGTTGGAACCCAGAGTCACCCCCACACAGAGCATCGTAACCCTGATCCAATCAGACCCCAGAGTCACTCCCACACGGAGCATCGTAACCCCGATCCCATTGTAACCCAGAGTCACCCCCACACGGAGCATCGTAACCCTGATCCAATCAGAACCCAGAGTCACCCCCACACAGAGCATCATAACCCTGATCCCATTGTAACTCGGAGATTCGTCATGTACAGGGTATTATTACCCCAACTCAATACCACACAGGGCAAAGTTGTCCAATCCACCCTCTCCATTGAAGCCCTAACTGAGCCACACAGTGACCATTATGACCCAGAGCCACCCCGTGCTGGGTGTCATGGGTGTCACTGACCCACCAGCTGGGTTTTAGAGCCCTGGGTCGCTCTCACACACCCGCAGTGCTCTGTAATCTCTTTTGCGCCCTCCCTTGTTTCAGTGGAAACAGTATTGTTGGGATTCTCCAAGGCTGTCACTAACTGTGTGTTTCTTCATTGCCCCTCAGATCCACGGTGGCAGCAGCAACGAGGAGTTTCTGTCTTCAATCCTGGCAGAAACTGTCCCTGCCTCCCCGCTCTGGTCCTCAGCCGGCAGTGACAGCGGGATATCGGAAGACCACCTCTCGGATCAGCTGGACAGTCCCCAGCACTGTGTCGTTTCCAACAGCCCCCAGAACATCGAAGCTGTCCACGCTGAGCCGCCATTTCAGCCTGGGCTAGAATCCAGTTGCTGGGCTGCTGGCCTGAGACCCCCAGAGCTGGACATGCCAGAGCCAGAGATTTCCCTTGGTTTCGGTAAGAGGCTGAACATCCCCCCCTCTGTGGGGATGGGGGCGTCAGGTTGTGGGCTGGGGAGGGCTGTTGGGGGTGGGGGAGATGATATTTAGAGGGAATAGATGGAGTTTGAAGAGGAATTTCCCCAGTTCACAGTCTCCATAATTTTCCAACTTGTTTTCTGATTCCCTGTGATCAGTCCATATCCCTGTCAGAATGCAGTGTGCTCAGCATTGCATTTCCACCAGTTTCAAACAGAGGAGTAACTGAGATAAATGAGGAGCTTGTTCTGTGTGACTTTGAAACTCTTTTAAAGTGATTTTGCCCTCCTTTATAATTTCTCCCCTCTCTCAAGGGTGGCATGGTGGCTCAGTGGTTAGCACTGCTGCCTCACAGTGCCAGGGTCCCGGATTTGATTCCACCCTCGAGCGACCGTCTGTCTGGCGTTTGCACATTCTCTCTGTGTCTCCTGCGCGGGTTTCCGCCCACAGTGCAAAGATGTATAGGTTAGGTAGATTGGCCATGGAAAATGCAGGGTTACAGGGAATAAGGTTAGGGGAGAATGGTTCCAGGAGGGATATTTTTTGGAGGGTCAGTGTGGACTTGATGGCCAGGATGGCCTGCCCCCACACTGTAGGGATTCTAAGATGCAGGGAGTTCTCCAACACCCCATTCAAAGAGTTGCCCCTCAAGCTTGAGTTGAGAAAGCCGACTTCCACATGAAGGGTCTAGGCCCGAAACGTCAGCCTTCCTGCTCCTCTGATGCTGCTTGGCCTGCTGTGTTCATCCAGCTCTACACCTTGTTATCTCAGATTCTCCAGCATCTGCAGTTCCTGCTATCTCTTCCACAGGCTGTTTGATTTTGGTGGGCATCACAGGAAAATTGGATCCCTATCATCTCCTGTTCACAACATTCATACCTCCCAGCATATGTCACTGTGTGACAATTGGTGGGGGCAGGGCGGGGGTACCAGGGCTGATTTGCCCCCTTCCAAGGCAAGAGGGAACAAACCTGATTGTGATGTGCCACTGGAGTTGTTGGGAGGAAGAAGGGGAGGCCTGGCCAAAGCTCAAAGATGGGGCTTTAACCCTCTTGTGGGACTGGCTTATTCAACAAAATGTGCTTTGCTGCGTAGATCACAGGAACAACAGCTGGCAGAAGGTAACATCTGTGACTCAGGTCTAGAAGCCTGGTCCTGAGTCAGTCACATCTTCAGACCTCCCTCCTTGAGACGGGACCAGTAACCCAGGCTTACACTCCAGGGAGAGTAGCACTCTTGTTTGAATGAAATGCTAAACCAAATCCTTGTCTGCCCTCTCAAGTGGATGTAAAAGACCTCGAGACCTAATTGAAGAATCATAGAATACCCTACAGGCTATTCAGCCCATTGAGTCCACACTGAGTCTCCAAAGAGTCTCCCACCCTGACCCACCCCCTTACCCTATCCCTGTAACCCTGCATTTCCCCATGGCTAACCCACCTAGCCTGCACATCCCTGGACACTATGGGGCAATTTAGCATGGCCAATCCACCCTAACTTGCACATCTTTGGACTATGGGAGGAAACCCATGCAGACACAGGGAGAACGTGCAAATTCCACACAGAATGTCACCCGAGGGTGGAATCAAACCTGAGTCCCTGGTGCTCTGAGGCAGCTGTGCTTACGACTGAGCCACTGTGCCGCTGTTCAGTAATAGACGGGGTCTTTAGAGAATTAGTCACTTTCCTATCTCTCTGACCAAAATGGAAAACCTCACACTTATCTGTGTTAAACTTTATCTGCCAAACGTAGACCCATTCACCTGACCTATCCATAACTATTTGTAAATTTCTAATTTATTCAATGAAACTTACTTTCACACCTATTTTCGTATCATCTGCAAGTTTGGCTACAGTACTTTCTATCCCTGCATCCAAGTTATTAATAAACATTGCAAATAGATTGCCAGAAGACTGAACCCTGTGGAACCCTACTAGTTATAACTTGCCAGCCGGTATAAGTATCAGTTATCCCGACTGTCTACTTTCAACACAACCTTAAATAAATACAATGACAGTCTCCACTGTTTTCTGGGAAAGGGAACTCCACAGACTAACAACCCTCCATGAAAATATTCTCCAAAAAATATTTATTCCTCTGCTGACCTCACTCATTATCTCAATACTGTTTGTGGGAGCCTGCTGTGCACAATTTGCTTCTCTGTTTCCTACATTACAGCAATAACATCTGTTCTAAAATACTTTATCGGCTGTAGTCACCTCAAGATCATAAACTGCAGGAGCAAAATTAGGCCATTCAGTCCATCAAGTCTGCTCCACCATTCAGTGAGATCATGTCTAATCTGATAATCGTTAACTCTACTATCCTGCCATTTCCCATTAATCCTGGATCCCTTCCTGATTAAAACTCTCTTAATCTCAGCCTTGAAAATACCTAATGACCCAGCCTCGACAGCCCTCTGTGGTAAAGAATTCCACAGATTCACTCCCCTCAGAGAGAAGTGATTCCTTCTCAGGAATGTTCTGAGCTTGTGGAAGGCATTGAAGGGAATAGCTCCGATCTTGCTCTTGCACACAGTTGTTTGTCATTTCTGTAGATGATTTGTATGAGAATCTAGGGGGCATGGTTAGTAAGTTTGTGGATGACATCAAAATTGGTGGGATAGTGGACAGTGAAGAAGGTTATCTAAGATTACAAAGAGATCCTGATCAATTGGGTCAATAGGCTGAGGAGTGGCAGATGGAGTTTATTTTGGATAAATACGAGGTATTGCATTTTAGTTAAACAAACCAGGAGAGGACATAAACAGTTAATGGTAGGGCCCTAGGGAGTGTTGTAGAACAGAGGGACCCAAGGGTTCAGGTACATACTTCTTTGGAATTTAAAGTCATAGAGGTCTACAGCATTGAAGCAGGCCCTTCGGCCCAACCTGCCCATGCCACCCAGTTTTCATAATTAAACTAGTCCCATTTGTCTGCATTTGGTCCATATCCCTCCATACCTATCCCATTCATGTACCTGTCTAAATGTTTCTTAAATGATGAAATGGTACTCACTTCCACCATACCTCTGGCAGCTCATTCCAGACACTCACCACCCTCTATGTGAAAAACCTGCCCTTCTGGACCCTTTTGTATTGCTCCCCTCTCATCTTAAACTTATGCCCTCTAGTTTTAGTCTCCCCTACCATGGGGAAAAGCTGTTGGCTGTCTACCTTATCTATGCCTCTCATGAGGAATTGACAGGAGCCGAGGGTGTGATGGATGGCAGTTTCAGGAAGATAGAAAGACCACAGATCCAGTCGGGTAGATGGGTCACCTCTAGGAAAGGTAAGAGAGGGAGGAAGGTAGTGCAGGAGTCTTCTGTGGCTACCCCAATCTCAAACAAGAATGCTGTTTTGGAAAATGTAGGGAGTGATGGACTCTTGGGGGAATGTATCACTGCCAGCCAGATTTCTTGTACTGAACCCGGCTCTAATGTCACAAGGGGTTTATCAGGTTCCAAGTGATCAATTGTGACAGGAGACTTTCTAGTCAGAGTCAAAGACAGACATTTCTGTGGCCGACAATGAGACATTAGAATGGTACGTTGCCACCCTAGTGCCAGGATTAAAGATGTCTCGGAGACGGTGTAGAATATTCTCAAAGAGGCGAGAGATGAGCAAGGAGGTCTTTGTACACATTGGAACCAACCTCATAGGAAGAGAGAAGGACGAGGTTCTGAGGAGACAATGTAGGAAATTAGGCAGGAGGATAAAAAGTAGGTCCTTGAGGGTAGTAATATCTGGATTCCTCCTGGTGCCACGTGCTAGTGACAGTAGGAATAGGAATGCATGGCTGATAAGCTAGTGCAGGGGAGAAAGATTCAGATTTTTGGATCATTGGAATGTCTTCTGGTTTAGAAGTGACCTGTATAAGAAGGATAAATTACACCTGAAATGGAAGAGGACCAATATACTGGCAGGGAAATTTGCTAGAGCCACCTGGGAGGATTTAAACCAGTAAGTGGGGGTGGGGTTACTCAGAGAGATAGTGAGAAAAGACATCAGTCTGAGGCTGGTGCAGTTGGGAAAAGGAGCAAGTCAAGGCAAGCAAAGCAAAGTAGAGAATGAGGTAGGACTAATAAATTAAACTGGATATATTTCAATGCAAGAGACCTGACAGGTAAGGCAGATGAACTCAGGGCATGGTTGCGAACATAGGACTGGGATATCGCAGCGATTACAGAGATGTGGCTCAGGGATGGATAGGACTGACAGTTTAATGTTCCAAGGTATTGATGCTATAAGAAAGATAGAAAGGGGGCAAGAGAGGAGGGGGAGTGGCATTTTTGATTAGGGATAACATTACAGCTGTACTTAGGGAGGATATTCCAGTGAAGTTATTTGGGTGGAACTGAGAAATAAGAAAGGGATGATCACTTTATTGGGATCATACTATAGACCCACCAGTAGTCAGTGGGAAATTGAGAAGCAAATTTGTAAGGACATCTCAGTTAACTGTGAGAATAAAGGGTGGTTATGGTAGGGGATTTTAACTTTCCAAACATAGCCTGGGACTGCTTATGTTAAGGGCTTGGATGGAGAGGAATTTGTTAAGTGTGTACAAGAAAATTTTCTGATTCAGTATGTGGATGTACCTACTAGAGAAGGAGGAAAACTTGACCTACTCTTGGGAAATAAGGCAGGACAGGTGACTGAGGTGTCAGTGGGGGAAACACTTTGGGGCCAGTGACCATAATTCTATTAGTTTTAAAATAGTGATGGAAAAGGATAGACCTGATCTAAAAGTCAGAGTTCTAAATTGGAGGAGAGCCAATTTTGACAGTATTTAGCAGGAATTTTCAAAAATTGTTTGGGGGTAGATAGCTTCAGATAAAGGGATGACTGGAAAGTGGGAAGCCTTCAAAAATGAGATAATGAATGTTCCTGTTAGGGTGAAGGGCAAGGCTGGTAGATGCAGGGAATGCTGGATTTCTAGAGAAATTAGGTATCCAAGCCCTGAACACTATGGCAGTCCCATTCGATCTTAGGAAAGTTAATATTCCCTACTGTTACAATTCTATTATTCTTGCAGCTATACGTGATCTCCTAACATACTTGTTCTTCAATTTCCTGCTGACCATTGGGAGTTGCGTCACAGGTAGACAGGGTGATTAAGAAGGCATTTAGCGTGCTTTACCTTCCATTGAGTGTAGGAGTTGGGACATTATGTTGCGATTGTCCAGGACTTTGGTGAGGCCACTTTACAAGTACTGTGTACAGTTTGGTTGCTCTGCTTCAGGAAGGATATTATTAAATTGGAGAGGTTGCAGTAAAGGTTTACCAGGATGTTGCTGGGACTGGAGTGTTCTAAGGGGAGGCTGGATAAGCTGGGACTTTTTTCACTGGAACATAGGAGGCTGAAGGGTGACCTTATAGAGGTTTATAAAATCATGAGGGGCTTAGAAAAGGTGAATGGCAAAGGTCTTTTTCCGAGGGAAGGGGAGTTCAAAACTAGAAGGCATATTTTTAAGGTGAGAAGAGAAAAATGTAAAATGTAAAATGTGAGAAGACAAAAATGAGGGGCAACTTTTTCACACAGAGGGTAGTTTGTATATTGTATGAACTGCCAGAGGATGTGGTAGATGCAGGTACAGTTACAACATTTAAAAGACCTTTGGACAGATATATGAATGGGAAAAGTTTAAAGGGATATAGGCCAAATGCAGGCAAATGGGACTAGTTTAGTTTGGGAAAGTTGGTCGGCATGGACAAGTTGGACTGCAGGGTCTGTTTCTGTGCTGTATGACTCTATGACTCTACAGCATGGGGACAGCGTTCACGTTAGTTGAAACAGATGAGTATAATTTATCCAGTGTCCTGTAATTCAACCTTACCTGGAGAAGGCCATTAGGTGGCAGCAGATGTACACTTCACTGAATATTTCACCGCAGATATTGGTGATGAATTGGTGACCTGGGAAAGAGAGTGCAGGTAGGGAATAAAAGAAAACCGCATACTGCAAGAACATGTCAGGTTCTTAGTCTTTGTATTTAGAACTGATTACTGTTTCACATCAGAAATTACCTGAAGTATCTTTTCTGTGGACAGGGGCTGTTAATTTCCATCATCTTCTGGCTTTGCATCCTATATCTTGATCAATCTAATGGTCTCTGCCTCAGCCTCCCAACTCCCATGTGGAGTAAAACTCAAAGCTCTGTGGCTTTTACGCTGACTTGCACCAAGTGCCACTCTCCCATCATCTCAATAGACATTGACCTAAATTGGCTCCCAGTGTATCATCACCCTGTGTTTAAAATTTGCATCCTTCAGTTCACATGCCACCAATGCTTCACACCTCCCGATCCCTTTAAACTCCTTCAATGCTAAAATATTCTGAGGTCTCTGTCTTGCACATTCTCCATTCCCTCTGGTGCATCATTAGCAATTATCCCTGGAATTCCATCCTTAAGTCCTTTCCCTCTCCACCTCTCTTTCCCCACTTAACGTAGAATCACAGGATCACTACAGTCAGAACGAGGCCATTCAGCCTATCGAGTCTGCACCAACCTGCTGAAGAGCATCCCACTGAAGAGCATTCCACCAAGACCCAGCGTCTGCCCACATCCCCATGACCCCACATTTCCCATGGCTACTCCATCTAATGGGCATATCTCTGGACTGTGGGAGGAAGCCCATGCAGGCACAGGGAGAATATGCAACCTCCACACAGAGAGTCACCCAAGGCTGGAATCTAATCTGGGTCCCTGGCACTGTGAGGCTAACCACTAAACCACCTTAAGATCCTCCTTGACACCTATTTTATGAGCAAGTGTCCAGTTACCTGTCCTAATGTATCTACATGAGACATGGTATTAAATTTGTTCTTTAACGTTGCTGTGGTGTCTTGAGATGTTTTTGCCATCTTAAAGCTTCTATAGAAAGGCAATTTGTTGTTATATTTTAATGATGTACACAGATTGAGCCTGACTGTTAGAAATTCTGCAAGAAATGCGAACTGATTCTTTTTTACATTTAATCTTCCAGATGACTGGAACTCAGAACCTTTTGAGGAAGGGAGACAGAACATTCCATCAGAATCTACTCCGAACAACGTCCTCTCCCTCACTGTCAAGGATTTACTGCTTTCAAACACAAATGAAATGGTGAGGCTCTACATGGTCATGTTGCTCTGAATGAATTCCTCCAACCCTGGGATCATATCATTCCTTACAACTGACTTCTGCTCTGTTTAGATTTAAAGTGGAGTCGAGTGAGAAATTAATCACATTTACAACATTGTTGGTTGAAACAACGTAACAGACAGAGGTGGTCAGTGAGAATGGCTTTGAGAAGGGAGTGGGCAGTAGGATTAGTTAGCAATGATTTAGCTCAGAGCCAGTAAGGACATGATGGGCTGAAAAGCCACTATCTGGGCTGTAACCTATAGTCATAACAGTCCGTGCTAATTCACAGTCTTTACTGCAGACTTGGAGATAGCAAGAACTGCAGATGCTAGAGTCAGAGACAGCACAGTGTAGAGCTGTAGGAACACAGCAGGCCAGGCAGCATCAGAGGAGCAGGAAAGTTGACATTTTAGGTCGGGACCCTTCTTCAGAAAAAAACGTTTATTCTGAAGAAGGGTCCTGACCCGAAATGTCGATTTTCCTGCTCCTCTGATGCTGCCTGGCCTCCTGTGTTTCTTCAACTCCACACAGTTGTTTACTGCAGACTTGTTCACTTTGAATCTATCTAGACATTTAACTGATACATTTTAAAATACTTATTACTTTGGAACTGTTAATAAATGCTCATATTTAAACAGAGGTGAAATTTTGATGTAGGGAGAGAAACTCAAACTTGAAATTTTGTAGACTAGACATAAATGTATACATTCAATTCTGGTCTTCCTGCTATAGGAAAGATGTTGTTAAACTTGAAAGGGTTCAGAAAAGATTTACAAGGATGTTGCTGGGTTTGGAGGTTGGGTTTGAGCTATAGGGAGAGGCTGAATAGGCTGTGACTATTTTCGCTGGAGTGTTAGAGGCTGAGGGGTGACCTTATAGAAGTTTGTAAAATTATGAGGGGCGTGGATAGGGTAAAGAGCCAAAGTTCTTTCCCCGTGGTAGGGGAGTCCAAAACTAGAGGGCATAGATTTAAAGTGAGAAGGGAAAGATTTATAAGGGACCTAAGGGGCAGCTTTTCATGCAGAGGGTGGTGCGTGTAAGGAATGAGCTGCCAGAGGAAGTGGTGGAGGCAGTTACAATTACAGTATTTAAAAGACATCTGGATGGGTACGTGAATAAGAGGGGTTTGGAGGGATATGGGTCAAATGCTGGCAAATAGGACTAGATTAATTCAGGATATCTGGTTGGCATGGATGGGTTGGACCGAGGGGTCTGTTACCGTGTTGTAGAACTCTATGACTCCATGTATGTCAAACTTCAGTTTCACAGGGCACTTGTGAGACCACATCTGGAGTACTGTGCACAGTCCTGGTTTCCTTTGAGGAAGAATATTAGAAGCAGTTGATAAAAGGTTAAGTAGGCTAATGCCTGGAATGGGTGGGATGTCTTATAAGGAAAAGTTGCACAACCTTGTGTTCCCTGGAGTTGTGAGAAGCAAATCAATTGAAGTAAATAAGATCCTGGAGGACTTGACTGGGTGGATGTGCAAAGGATGGTTCTTTTTTTGGGAGAATCTAGAACAAGGGGTCACTGATGAAAAGGAAAGGGTTGCCCATTTCAAGCAGACGAGGCAATTTTGTCCTGACAGGTCATGAGATTTTTGGAGCTGTCTACTGCAACAGGCAGTGGAAGCAGAGTCTTTCGGTATTAATAGAGCAGAAATAGATCGATTGTTGATTAGCAAGGGGGCGAAAGGGTACCAGGAGGACGGACGGGAATAGGGAGTAATCAGATCAGTGTTGATCTTATTGGAAGATAGAGCAGACTTGTTGTCCATCTCTGAAAGACAACAGTATATACATAGATGAAGATATAGCGAAGACATTTAGTGCTCTATAAAACTGAGTTAATTTATTAAGTAGTTAAAGGTATAACACACGCTTTTAACTACTAGAGATATCTCAATCACTGTCTTTCGCTGCCCTGGGTTCTGTAACTAACACCAAACGTTATTACCTGGGAGAGTTGGCAGCTGGCCAGGCTAAAACTCTTCTCGATGTCTTCACCACACCTCCTGATGTAGGCTGCCTCCTGCAGAGTGATTCTTCAAAGTCCTGCTGAAAATCAAGGATTTTCTGGGCTACTTTAAGCACAGGTCTCTGCGCTAAGTGTATTTGAATCATTTATCATTTACTGTCACATGTATTCAATATAAGAAAATACAGTGAAAAGTGTGTACCTCCACCATACATAAACATGGCGCCATTCACATTAACTTAGAATAAGATAAGAAAAAAAGATAAATTAAGAGAGTCCAACTTTGCTTTCCACTGCCGCAGTCCCGCTCCAGGCTTTCCAGCGCTCTCCATTCCTCGGCCACAGTCCCGTTCCGGGCTTTCCAGCCCTCGCCATGCCACTGACAGCATTCCGCTCCAGGCTGCCTCACTGGCCCGCTCTCGCCGGCCCACTCTTGATCTGCCGCCGTCGCTCTGGCCCACGCTCGATCTGCTGTTGCTGCATGACACAACCCACGTGTTCAGCTCCTTCCACGTGGTTACCCGTCACGACCCGGCCTCTTCCCTACTCCTTGGGTAGGTAGTTAAAAGGGGGTTGGGGGGGATAGAATTACTGCAGAGGGAGAGAGAAGAAGGGAGGGGAAAAAAAAGACAGGACAAAGAAAGAAAGAGAAAGTGAACTGGCGAGCAGAGTGGAGCTCTGAATGGAACGAGTTCTCCTGCTGCCATCTTGCCATTTTGCCTGATTTAGAAGTATCCCTGCATGTGACTAATCCTGAATGTTTCACCCTTATTTGGTAGAGACAGCAGTTACTGATTTCCTGCAGTTGGAGCTCTTAGTGGGCCTGAATAACTCAGCATAATTCCATTCACATAACAGCCCATTGTAAAGCCTCTTGTCATTTCCCTGTTATCTTCAGACTAATCCAACAGGCTCGAGGGGCTGAATGGCCCACTCCTGCTCTTAATTTGTACATTGGTGAGTACATGTGTAGGTGCTATCTTTCAGATAAGATAATGAACTGAGGCCCTTTCAGTGTTAAAAGTCCTATTTGAAGATGAGCAGCCGGGGTTCTGCCTTGTTTTCTGGGCCATTATTTATCCTTCACCCTCCATCAATGAAATCAGATGATCTGGTCATTATCACATTATTATTGTGAGAGATTTGTTGTGCATAGATTGAGTGCTGCAGTAATTACATTATAACAACGAGCAAATATCAGATGCATCTGCGTTGACTTAACCTGCTTAACCTCAGAGAGCTTTATGCTATATAAATGCAAATCTCTCCTTTTATAGAGGTAGTAGGAACTGCCGATGCTGGAGGACCTGATATAACAAGGTGTAGAGCTGGATGAACACAGCAGGCCAAGCAGCATCAGAGGAGCAGGAAAGCTGACGTTTCGGGTCTAGACCATTTCTGAAGAAGGGTCCAGGCCCGAAACGTCAGCTCTCCTTTTATATGTTGCTGCAGTAGTTCAGGCCATTGGCTACTCATTGCCCATGTTTCTCACTTCCTCCCTTTCTTTCCAATCTCAGCACAAGCCGCAGTTGCAGCCACATCAAGCCCGGGAGCTGGTGCTCAACGAAGATGAGAAAAAGTTGTTGGTGAAAGAAGGGGTCACGCTTCCATCGCAGCTGCCGCTCACCAAAGTACATGGACATTGACTTGTTGCTGCTTACACGGTTCTAACTGGGCAGGGGGTGGTAGTAATCAAGGCACACCAGCACCAACCAGAGCATTAACTAGAGCAGGCTGGTAATAACTACAGCAACCTGGTGGTAACTGAGAAAGTGTGTATCAAGTGGAGGCAGTGTGTGAACCAAGGCGGGAATGTAGCTTGATATTCTGGAAACTAGATCTCAAGGGCACTGGAATACACTGTGTCGAGATTATTTCACAGTTATGCATTGCTCTTGATAGAACCCACCTGGGAGTGTACTAATCAATTCTGGGTATCCCAAGGAGATATTCAAAAAAAAGTGAAATGTTATGAATGAATTAAGTTTTTAAACACATCCTATTGTCATTTCATGGTTCATTGATTCTATACAGTGGGTAAATGAGCTTGGAAGAGCCAAGTGTGGGCAGCACAGTGGCTCAGAGATTAGCACTGTTGCCTCACAGCGCTACAGACCCGGGTTTGATTCTACCATCAGGCGACTGTCAGTGTAGAGTTTGCACATTCTCCCCGTGTCTGTGTGGGTTTCCTTCGGGTGCTCAGGTTTTCTCCCACAGTTCAAAGATGTGCAGGTTAGGCCAATTGGCTATGCTAAATTGCCCATAATGTCCAGGGATGTGCAGACTAGGTGGGTTAGCTATGGGAAATGCAGTGTTATGGGTTTAGGGTAGGGGTCTGGATCTGGGTGGGATGGTCTTTGGAGGATCGGTGTGGACTTGATCAGTCAAAAGGCCTGCTTCCACACTGTAGGGATTCTCTGATTGTAATATGGGTTAGGACATGCCTCTCCCCTCCCCCATCCTGTCCATCTTCTAACTCACCTATCTGCTCCACCCTTCCCACTGACTAACCGCAATAATCCCCTACCTGCATCCACCTATCTCTATCTCACCTACCCTCCTCCCAGCCCCAACCCCTTCCCTCTGTTTATTTCTGGGTGCCCCTCCCCCTCCCCCTCTCCAGTCCTGGTGAAGGATTTCGGCCAAACACCTCAGATGCAGTCTGACCTGCAGCACTTTCCCAGCTCCACATTTATTGACACAGAGAGGTCACAGCTTTAGAATAAAGGGTGGCAGATTTCAAACAAAGATGAGGTGTAATTACATCTCTCAATGCACCATGAATCTGTGGAATTCACTCCCCCAGAGTGCGGTGGGGTGAGGACTCTGAATAAATTTGAGCAGGAGATAGATTTTTAATTAGTAATGGGTTAAAGGGTATGAGGAGTGAGCAAGAAAGTGGAGTTCAGGCCAAGATGAGATCAACCATGATCATGGATGAGCAGGACTGAATTGCCTATTCCTATTCTTCTGCTATTATCCCTGACTCCATGACAGTTTAGTCCTCTGTCTCTTAGCCCCAATTCTTTTCTTTCTATTTCTACCTCTCATACATTCCCTCTCTTTTTCACTCTCCAGCTGTCTGTCCCTTCCTCTCTCCCATCCCATTTTAGTTTCATGATAACAATTCAATCAGTACATAAGCAGTTTGGATGAATTGGGTTCTTTCCCTTTCTCAGCAAGAAGAACGGATTTTAAAGAAGATAAGGAGAAAGATCCGGAATAAACAGTCAGCACAAGAGAGCCGGAAGAAGAAAAAGGAATACATAGATGGCTTGGAAAACAGGTGAGAGACAATGTTGTTCCAACGCTTGATAGTGGAACTGGGGTCTGGGTGCAGTTAACCCACCTGTCACCATAGGTTGGATTTACATAGGATAGAATATTACATAGAATCCCTACAGCATGGAAGCAGGCCATTCAGCCAATCAAGTCCACACTGACCCTTTGGAGAGCATCCCACCCCAACCTCCCCCGTAACCCTGCATTTCCCGTAACTAACAAACCTACCTTGCACACCCATGGACACTATGGGCACTTTAACATAACCAATTCACCCAACCTACACATGTTTGGAATATGAGAGGAAGTCAGAGCAGTTGGAGGAAACCCACGCAGACACAGGGAGAATGTGAAAACTCCACACAGACACCCGAGGGTGGGATCAAACCCACGTCCCTGGTGCTGTGGGGCCTCAGTGCTAACCACTGTACTACCTTATTGTACAACTTTATTTAGCTGTATGAGGTGCACATTAATTCTTGGTTTTGACTTGGTATCCTGCTAGAATATTAATTTATTGGCTTTGTCACTGGTGAAACAGCAAGGCATTGCATCAATCTCATGTTTTGCATTTCGAAAGTGGGTGCAGGACTTATCAAGGTATGAACAGGCAAGTTCATTTGGCAGCTGCTCACAGCATTATGTCATAAACTAGCTGAGATGAGGAGCAGAGATAGTAGGAACTGCAGATGCTGGAGAATCCGAGACAACAAGGTGCAGGGCTGGATGAACACAGCAGGCCAAGCAGCATCAGAGGAGCAGGAAGGCTGACGTTTCGGGCCTAGACCCTTCTTCAGAAACCAGATTCTCCTGGTGCTCTGCTCTTCAGTGCTGGTGGATCTTGAACCTGTACTTTCTTGCCCAGAGGTATTGATACTCCACTACACTCTTAAATAAAACAATGAACTGCGGATGCTGGAGACCAGAAACAAAAACCAAAATCGCTGGAGAAACTCAGCAGGTCTGTGGACAGAAAGTAACCTGACTCGAAATGTTAACTCTGCTTTCTTCTCATAGATGCTCCCAGATCTGCTGAGTTCTTCCAGCAATTTCAGTTTTTGCTCTATTAGATCTTTCCTCCTTTATATATCCAGAGAAAATCACCAAATTGTTGTGGTGCAGGCAAGGTGACATTATCGAGGTTTATAAAATCATAATGGGTTCAGATAGAATTAATGGTAGATGTCTTTTCCCTAGGATGGGGGATTTCAAGACTATTTTTAAGGTGAGAAGAGAGAGATTTAGAAAAGACACAAGCGAAAATCTTTTGCATAGAGAGTGGTTTGCGTCTGGAATTTCCAGAGGAAGAGTTGGATGTGGGCACAGTTACAACATTTAAGACACACTTAGATAACTACATGAATGGACAATGTTTAAAAGGATATGGGCCAGGTGAGACTAGTTTAATTTGGGATTATGTTTGGCATGGACTGGTTGGACTGAAGGGTCTATTTCCATGTTGTATGACTCTATAACTGTATGTTGGCTCTCTGAACAATTTAACTTGATGCCAACTTCCTGCTTTTTCCACATAAACCTGCACAGTATTTCTGTTTGAAAAAAAAAATCACCCACAGCCTTCTTAAACCAATTAACCTCGACTATTAACATCAGTTATTCAGGTTTACTGGATAGCTGCAATGAGTGAGGTATCTTATGAGGAAAGGTTGGTTGGAAAGATGGTGGTGCAGCAATCACTCAGAGGCTCCAGGTGATTTTTTTGAGAATGCAGTTTCACCCCATGGCAGCTAGTGGACTTTAAAGTTGCAGTGGCGGTGTCCCTAGCTGTGGGCTAGACAGCCTGGGTGTAAGCCTTACCTGCTTCAGTCTGAGCAGGTTGTTAAACAGTTTGAGGAAAGGTTGGACAGACTGGGCTTGTTTCCACTGGAGTTTAGAAGAGTGAGGGCTGTCTTGATTGAAGTGTGTAAAATATTTACAAAGTGGATGTGGAAAGGATGCTTTCTCCTGTGGGTGACCCCAGAACTAGGAGGTATTGAGGAGAATTTATTTCTGTTGGAAATCTGTGCCTCAGAAAACTGTGGAAGTGGAGTCACCGTTTTGAAAGCGGGGTTAAGATGGATAAATGTTAGACCGAGGGAGGCAGAGGTGATCAGGATTCTGTGGGAATCTGGATTCAACTATCATCTTTTAGAATGGTGTAGCAGGCTGTGTGGACTCAATGGCCTACTTCAGCTCATAATTTGTATACTCGTGGCTGTGTCGGTTACAGTCCATGACTCAGTTCTCTTTTTAGAATCAGCAGGTCCTGTATTCTGTCAGAACCAATAACTTTCTCTTTCACCTTCAGGATGGCAGCCTGCACAGCCCAGAATTACGAACTGCAGAGGAAGGTCATCCGGCTGGAAAAGCAGAACACGTAAGTTCGTGACAGGGTGTCACTGCAGGGCTCTGCCATATGGTCCCAGCCTTCACTTGTGAGTTTCTGATGTTAACATCATTTTCAGCTGATAACAGTGTAACAGGTGCTGCGGGCTCTATGGTACAGGAGATACACACATACATACCGTGCAGATTGACCAGACATTTATGTTGCCAACTTCAGAGCATCTCAGAGTGTATGAGTCTGATTTTAATACTGTGCAAACTGGTTTATTTTGAATGGGTTAAAACTGGACCTGGTTTAATTGAATAGTAGAGAGGTGCATTGTTGGTCCAGATGAGAGTGCACCTTTGAGACTAGCTCTTCCAGTGGCTGATGCAGCATGTTCATTGATAGGCTGTTACAGTTATTGTGTGGAAAGAATTAATGCAAACTGACATTTTCTAAACATTGCTTCCTTCTTATAGGACATTGCTACAGCAATTGCAAAAACTCCATACCCTGGTCATGCATTCAACAGGCAAGACTGCACAGACAGGCACCTGTATCATGGTACGTTAATGGACATGGCATTGCAAATGTTTGAAATAACTCCATGAAGGCCAGTATCCTGTCACCAAGTCACCCTTTATTTGCACGTGCATAGTATGTGACACTGACCGAGCTAGCTCAGAGGCGATGCATAGAGTGAGCAGAACCTCTGACATTTCCATAGAATCCCTACAGTGTGGAAACAGATCCTTTGGCCTAACAAGTTCACACCAACCCTCAGAGCATCCCACCCAGACCTATCCCACTATAATCCACCTAATCGACACATCCCTGAACCCTATGGGCAATTTAGCATGGCCAATCCACCTAGCCTGCACTTCTTTGGACTGTGGGAGGAAATCGGAACGCCCGGAGGAAACCCGCGCAGACACGGGGAGAATGTGCAAACTCTACACAGACAGTCGCATGAGGGTGGAATCGAACGCAGTGCTAACCACTCAGCTACCAAGCTGCCCCTATATCTGTCAGCCAGGGCTCCCTGATTGGACCAGATTAACAGTCCCAATCAGGGAACTCATATTCTATGAGGTCCACCTGGCTGACCTTGTTATGATCAGTAAAATGTTCAATTTTGCTTAATGCTGACACAGCAGGTGAAATCGTGTTTCAGAGTTGTATCCTGTGCCTATTCTACCCTCTGTTATGTCACTAATCATCTGTTTGGAAAAACAGGAGTCAAACTGTCTTCCAAAACTATTTCTTTGCATTTCATCATTCCAACGTGAACTTCAGACTCCTCACTCCTGTTCCTGGCCAATTCCCTTTGCTAGAGAAACCCAGCCCTTTTTTATGGTTTAGTACAAATATCAGTTTCCATCTTTCCCTCCTGGAGCCTTTTCCTGCCCAGAAGCTAACCCATCCTGGAAAGGAACTCAGCTCTTTTTTTAATTTGTAAAACTACCACCTAATCACCCATTTAACTCATTAGTCAAATAACTACAAGCACTACTCCTTAACAAAACAAAAACAAAACAAGGGAGGGGACTAAATCAAAATAGTGTTGGAGGGGGAGATAATGCACTCCAGTCTCTATGATACGATCCTCTCTCAAATCTTTGTGGGCATTGGTGGAAAAACTAGCCCTGTTAAAACAAATAATAAAGCCACCACCAAATCACCCGAGTTACTAACTAAACAATTAGCAAACAATGCCCACCAGGGGCAGAGCAACAGTAACAAATATAGGGGACAGTAGGAAGAGAGGGTGGAGATTCAATTAAAACAGAGTTGGACATGGAAATAACCTACTCCCAACCCCTGTGGGGCACCCCTTTCTCTATAATAGTTACAGATACTTACAGAAAAGCCAGCCCTATTATTTTCCCTTTTTTATGTACAGAAGTGCTCTTACATACAACTGAATGTGTTTCTTTTTCCATCACTAAATCACCTGTGGTATTTTGTTTTCATATATTAATGATCACCAGTAAATCACCCGTGTTTTCCAGCTGGATAATTTATGTGCAAAGTCCGTTAAAGGCAATTTGAGCTATCAGAGGTGAGGGAGAGCGAGGGAGATGGGAAGGGAGGCTACATCAAAATGGATTTGGAAGTGGAAATAATGCACTCCAACCCTGCAGTGCCCACCTCTCTCTAAAATTGTTGAGAGAAGAAATTTATTAGCATTAATATACAGTTGACAGGGAAGGCAGAAAGATAATGAAAGCAGACTGCACAATAGTCCTCTGTCCTCTGAAGATACTGATGGAATGATGGAAGGTCAGCACAGCTCTTTTGGACATTCCAGTGTTCCCCACACTTCTTTCCTGACTTCCTAATGCCTCCAAAACTGAGCCTTCTTTTGCTTTCATCTTTTCAACTATTTCTGCTCTTCCTTCTTCTTCTGTTTGAAAGTAAAATCATCCTCATTCATTTTCTTGTTTGAATTTTTTAGGCTCAAATATCTAGGCCTTTTTTTAAAATCCAGAAGTACTCTTACATCTGAACAATTTCTTTTTCACCATCACCAAATCACCAAATCATCTGTGGTAGTTTTTATTTATCCATTAACCATCACCGGTAAATCACCCATGTTTCCAATTGAATAATTTACATATAAAGTCTGTTGAAGCCAATGCAAGCCATCAAAGATGACGGAGATGTAGGGAGAGGGGGAGGGGAAGGGGAAAAAGCTAAGATTTACAAGGATGTTGCCAGGGTTGGAGGGTTTGAGCTACAGGGAGAGGCTGAATAGGCTGGGGCTATTTTCCCTGGAGCATTGGAGGCTGAGGGGTGACCTTATAGAGGTTTATAAAATCATGAGGGTCATGGATAGGGTGAGTAGATAAGGTCTTTTCCCCAGGGTAGAGGAGTCCAAAACTAGAGGGCATAGGTTTAAAGTGAGGGGGGAATGATTTAAAAGGGACCTAAGGGGCAACATTTTTGCGCAGAGGTTGGTGTGTGTATGGAATGAGCTGCCAGAGGAAGTGGTAGAGGCTGGTACAATTACAACATTTAAAAGGCATCTGGATGGGTATATGAATAGGAAGGGTTTAGAGGGATATGGGTCAAATGCTGGCAAATGGGACTAGATTAATTTAGGGTATCCAATCAACATGGACGAGTTGGACTGAAGGGTCTGTTTCAGTGCTGTACAGATCTATGACTCTACGACTCTATGACTCTACATGCTGTAATGACCATCAGCCTGCTGTCCTTTCTGGAGCATTGTCCTTGTTCATTAAATTAAAGTGCATGGGATTGGGGTTAGTGCACTGGCACTGATAGACAACAGGTTGGCAGACAGGAAACAAAGAGTAGGAATGAATGGTCATTGTGAGTGACAGCCAGTGATCAGTGGGGTCCAACAGAGATCGGTGCTTGGACCACAGCTATTCACAATATTTTGTAATATTTTAGGTGAGGTAACTAAATATCTTTAAGTTTACAGTTGACGCAAAGGGTGAACTGTGAGGCGGGGTTCTCACAGTGATCTATAAGAGTTTAACAGGACTGGACATGTAAACACAAAATATTCCTGATGACTGGGGGTTAGGGGCGGGGGGGGTGGGGGTGGGGTTGGAGGTCCCATAAGGATATGGGGTAGGCCATTGAGGACTGAGATAAGGAGAACTTCGTTTACTCACATATTGGGGAGCTTATGGAATTCTCTGCCACTGAAAGTGATTGGGGCTAAAACATTGAATATTTTCAAGAAGGAGATAGATATAGTTCTTGGAGCAAAAGGGATCGTAGGTTGTGAATGAAAGTGGGAACTGGGGACTGAGTTGGATGATCAGCTGTGATCATATTGAATGGTACAGCAGGCTTGAAGGGCAGAATGGCCTTCTTCTGCTACTTTCTATGTCTATGTTTCTATATTCATAACATGGTCATGCCCAGTGTTCAGTTCCATTGACTTCAATAGACAGAATGTCCGGACAGTAACGTAGCATGTGACTAATGTCTGCTTTTGTTGGTTTTCTGATCTGATACATGAGCAATGTTACTCAAGACCCTGGTGGGCTGTTGATCCCAATGACTACTTTAGTTCCCTGGTTTCTTTACTGTGTCTGATGCTTGTTAAATAAATACATTGACATCTGGAGTAAGTTGTCTTGTACTGTGTGTCTTGTACAGAATGTAGGGGCTCTTGTGCTGAATGGTAGTGTCCCTACTCTGAGCCATGAGGCCTGGGTTCATGTCCTACCTTCTCTAAAGGTGTGTCATAACCTGTCTGAACAGGTTGATTTGGAAAACAGCCTAAGCAGAGGTGGCTTAAGTAGTGTAAATCATCTGTAGCCAACCAGTGATATGTGTTGGACTGCATTGCAATACCATTGGTTTGACAGCATTGTGGAATTGCAAAGCTTATCGCAGGTGATCAGCTTCTTTAGGAAGCAAGAGGAGAAAAATAAATGGCATTTGGTAAGCTCTGTATATACTTGTATCGGAGACACTGGTCCTTTAGGCACTATCGATTGAACACACTTTCCTTTGAGTTGTAGTATGAGTCGTGTGACATTTGGTTTTTCTCTCTTCCCAGGTGCTGATGCTGTCATTTGCTTTGATTATTTTCCCTAGCTTCAGTTCATTCAGCTCCAGTAAGGGTGTAAAGGAAGATGACTTCACTCCTGTACGAGGTTAGTATGAGACCCCAGATTAACGTAACACTGAGCCATTAGAACACTCCAACAGCAGACCATGCTGATGAGCAACAGACACAACTCTCAATCTGATTTATACTCTTGGTGTTAGCCGGATTACTTGACACCCTCCTTTATTTTAAATTAGAGAGGGAAAGTAGATATCTCCTACTATTGTGCAGGCACTGCCAAACATTGACACCTACAATCACGACACATATAAAACAATAGATGGTAATGCGTCCTTTGGGAGGGGGAATTAGGATTGCAAGGTGGAGAAGATAACTCAGTTGTTGAGGGATCTTTCCCTTGTCTGTTTCCCGGGACACACACCGAAACAAATATCGACTGCACCTGGAGGATCATCAACTTGAGGAAAGATGCTCTTTGGTCTGCCTGAGACTTGTTGGTCTTCCAGAGCAAAGAGCTGATCTCGATCAAGTGTTGCAGACTGGCACATTCCAAGGTCCAGGACTACATGATGAGGGGCAGCTGCCACCAAGGTGCACTGGGGAAGACCACTGTCTAAGGTCTTTCTGCTGAAGGTAAATGGAGTCCGTTCAGTTATCGGATCCTCCTAGTGCTTCAAATGTCTATAAATATAGTCTCGTACAGGTAAGAAATGCCTTGGGTTTGTTTGCTGGATAGAGTCACACTCCAATGTTTGTTTCTTCATATGCTACTGTACAGAACTGAACTGCTTTAGTGACTATGTATGTATATACAGATATTTTTATGAATAAAGTATATTTTTGAAATAAAAAAGTCTTTCCCACGTCCTACAGTGTGGCTGAAGCAGTGAGACTAATTTTAACCAAGCATACTCATTAAGAAGTAGAGATTACTGGCTAGTAATATTAGGCAGGATGTAAAGTCAGCATTTCAGCCCATTCCTTGGTCAGAGCTCAGGTGACTGAGATATTCTCAGAGTATTGGCAAGAAAGGAAGAATTTGAATTTATAAAATACTTTCTTGATCACGTTACAGTCCAAAATACTTTGCAACCAAACAAGTCCTTTTAGATCAGAGATAGTAGGAACTGCAGATGCTGGAGAATCCGAGACAACAAGGTGCAGGGCTGGATGAACACAGCAGACCAAGCAGCATCATAGGAGCAGAGAGGCTGACGTTTCGGGCCTAGACCCTTAATCAGAAAAGTCCTTTTAGATGTTTGATAATGACCGTTTGCTTCAGTGATGCTGGTTGAGGAATAAAAGGCACAGGGGGAAGATGTCTCCCTTCTTTCAAATAGTCATAAGATCTTTTAAGGCTGACTGAGAAAGTGGATTACTTGCTTTACTTTTCCATCAGGTAACACCTCCAGCAGAGCAACACTCCCTTAGTATTGAGCGTCCAGAATACAGCGTCCCCTCAAAACTGATCCTTCAACAGTGCATCGTTAGAGCTGGCTCTGCAACAATGCAGCCTCTCTGACAGTGTAGAACTGCCTCAGAACAGACTCTGCAGCATTGCATCACTCCCTTGCTAATGATCCTCCAACTGTCCAGTGCTCCCTTAGCATCTGGCACTGCAACGCTTCTTTATTACAACCATCTGATAATTCAGCCATCAGTACTGGAGTCATAGTTAATGTATATGAAGATAGTTGTGGTTGTTAGAGGACATTCCTTTTAGGTCTGGAACATCACTGCATTGTTTCCCCAGGATAGTGTCCTAGGCCCAAATACCTGCAGCTGCTTTGTAAATGATCTTCCCTCTGTCATAAGGTCAGAACTGGGGATGTTTGCTAACGATCACAGAAAGTCACTTATGACTCCTCAGACAGTCCATATCCAAATTGAGAGAGATCTGGACAACTTTCAAGCTTGGGTTGATAAATGGCAAATAACATTTCGGCACATGAGTGCCAGGCAAAGACCATCTTGAGCAAGTGAGAATCTAACCACTGCCCCTTGACATTCAATGGCATCACCATTTCTGAATCCCCCACCATTAATGTCGATGGGATACCATTTACCAAAAATTGAACTGGACTAGTCATAATGCTGTAGCTACATGAGCGGAACTGAGAAATTCTGAAGAGAGTAACTCACCCACTGACTCCCCAAAGCTTGTCTGTGAGGCACAGGGCAGGAGTGTGATGGAATACTCCCCACTTGCGCAAATGGGCACAGCTCCAACAACACTCAAGAAGCTTGAAACCATCTAGGACATGGCAGCCTACATCACATTTGCAAACACTCACTCCATCCACCACCAATGCTCAGTAGCAGCAGTTTGTACTATCTACAAGATATATTGTAGCAACTCACTGCTGGCCCTCTGACAGCACCTTCCAAACTTGTGACCTCCACCTTCTAGAAGGACAAGGACAGCAGATGCATGGAAACACCACCCCCTGCGATTTCCCCTCTAAACCTTTTACATTCAGACTTCAAAATGCATCAGCTGGTTGTTTACTGTTACTGTGTCAAAATCCTGGAACTCCTCTCCCAACAGTACTGAACATACCACACACCAAATGGGCTGTAGCAGTCTATGGGGCAGCCTACCTCCAGCTTCTCAAGGGCTATTAGTGATGAGCGATAAATGCTTATCTGTATTGCTAGCATCCCATGATCAAATAAACCAAATCAGTGCATCCTCAATATAGACTCTCTGTTACTGCCGCACACCGTGAGGCCTGAGAGTGCAGTGCTCAGTGTGGATGCCCTGATAATTCAGCACCCTTCCATTCCAGACTGGAAATCAATCTGAATCTGAATTAACTCATACATTGGTCTGTAAATGAATCAGCTGCTAAGACAGGAGAATATTAGAGGATCTGAGTAATTCAAGCATCTGCTTTATGTCAGTCATACATTCCAACTCAGCAAAGAAAAGAAGTCAAAATCAGCTGTGAATATGAGAGGATAAATCTTTATGAAAATGCTGGAAACACCTCAGAATCAAGCAAGATCTGTTAAGAAAATAAAATGTTAATATTGTAGGAGCAGCCCTTGAGGAGGGTGTGTTCTGATTAGTTGCTGTGCCTATAAACTTTATTCTCCTTTCATTGTAACACCAAATTTCAGTTGTATAGTACACTTAATGCAATAAAGCTTCCTAAGGTGCTTCACATAATGGTGTTGGAACAAAATTAAACACCATGTTGCCTATAGAGATTTGTCAAAAAATTCAGTTCATTCGTGGGATGTGGGCGTCACTGGCTGGTCAGCATTTATTGCCTGTGCCTAGTTGCCCTTGACAAGGAGGTGGTGAGCTGCCTTTTTGAACTACTGCTGTCCATTTGGTGCACTCACAACGCCGTTAGAAAGAGAATTCCAGGATTTTGACCCAGCGACAGTGGAGGAATGGCGATCTATTTCCAAGTGAGGATGTGAGTGGTTTGGAGGGGAACTTGAAGGTGGTTCCTAAGTATCTGCTGCTCTTGTCCTTCTAGATGGAAATGCTCTTGGGTTTGGAAGGTGCTGTCTGAGGATCTTGTAAATGGTATATGCTGCTGCTTTTGAGTGTTGGTGGTGGAGGGAGTAGATGTTTGTGGATGTGGTGCCAATAAAGCAATTATAACATTGGATCAAACTTTCATTAGAGAGGTAGGTTTTAGGGGTGTAGCAATCTATCCACCTCTGTGAGATAATGCCTGGGTCCTTGAATCTGCTGATGTTGAGGCAGGAAACCAAGCAAAGTGACTTATTTAAATGGTACAATCCTTTCCTACACTGGTAATGAAGAAGGTGTTTGGTACGTTTGCCTTTATTGGTCAGTGCATTGAGTATAGGATTTGGGAGGTCACATTGCAGCTGTACAGGACGTTGGTTAGGCCACTTTTGGAATACTGCGTACAATTCTGGTCTCCCTGCTATGGGAAAAATGTTGTTAAACTTGAAGGGATTCAGAAAAGATTTACAAGGATGTTGCCAGGGTTGGAGGGTTTGAGCAAAGAGACAGGCTTAAATAGGCTGGGGCATTTTTCCTGGAGCATCAGAGGCTGAGGGTTGACCTTATGGAAGTTTATAAAATCATAAAGGGCATGGATAGGGTGAATAGGCAATGTCTTTTCCCTAGCTTAGGGAAGTCCAAAACTGGAGGGCAAAGGTTTAAGGTGAGAGGGAAGAGATTTAAAAGGGACCTAAGAGGCAACTTTTTCACATAGAGGATGGTTGTATATGAAATAAGCTGCCAAAGTGTTGAAGGCTGGTATAATTACAACATTTAAAAAGCATCTGGATGGGTATATGAATAGAAAGCGTTTTGAGGGATATGGGCCAAATGCTGCAAATGGGGCTAGATTAATGTAAAATAACTGGTCGGGACATGGACAAGTTGAACCAAAGGGTCTATTTCTGTGCTGTACAGCTCTATGACTATGACTCTATCACACAGTATGTTCAGACTGCAGTGGTATCAGTCAGTACTGATCCTCAACAAAGTGGCATGTTCTTAACTGGAATTAAACGTAACAGCATCTCTGTCTGAAGAGTTTTTAATGAACTTTTATATTGTCTTTGTAGTATTTTCCAGATCTTTACATGATCTGGAGTCGTCTCGGGTGCTTCAGGTGTTGAGCAGTCCCCACAGCCACGCTCCAGGAGAGAAGCATTCAGAATGGAATGAACAGCTTAATGTGGAGAGCAGAGGCACAGCCACCAAACAAGACCAAACTGTGAATGGCAAAGAATTCACTCAAGATACTGAAAGGCACTCGCCTAATGGGTCCAACTCTTCACTGAGTATTGATGACATTGCCAATGAAGTCACCATCCTTGAGGATCTCAATCCTGAAGACCATATTGAAGATCCTGGTCGAGGACACTCACCATGGACTGAACTAACCCCTGACCATCGAGATGACTTGTAGGGTGTTTGGAAATCTGGGACTTTTCTCGTTTGTTGATGTTTAAAGGGGAAAGGAATCATGACTGATCAAACATGGAAGATCAGAATAAGATTGACATCATTCCGTCAATATACATTGTATCAGTTTTCCCTCGTATATCAGAAACAGCCACTTAGTCCCAAATTAGCTGTATTACACAGCCCTGATGTTGCCCTGATCTGCCCTATCTTGGCTTAACTGGGTACAATTTTAATTTTTTTTACAGGAAATATCAGTCCTAATGACATTATTCTGAACAATCATTGCATTAATTTTCAGAATACTGATTGATATTTTTCAAAACTAATCACAGTGTTAGTAGGAATGAAAGGAAGCCAGTGTGCAGAAACCATACTGTTTTACTTCTTGTTATAATGCCAGATACACTTTTGCCTTTCTTCAGCCTGGGTCAGAAAGGTGCTGCAAGAACGCTGGATCTCTGTGGTGATATCATATTGTGAATTGGCCCCTCTCCCTGGTTTGCGAATTTGAACTTCACATTTTCTGAGGTTATCCGCCACACACGGTTTCAACTGTTCTTATGGCACCCATTTTTTCCAGTTCTGTGGTGAAGATGGTGATAGGTGGGCACAGGCTTTGATAGGTAAGGAATGAGCCCCTGGCAATCTTACCCAACTTGCCCATGAGCACCAACATGGAGATTGACTGGCTATGACGTAGGAGGCTGTGATGGGAGACTGCAGGATTCTCCATAATGAGCTTAATGAACTTTCCTCCCTCGTACTTCTCTTGTGACACACCTGAGAAAAAAAAGTCATTCTGGGTCTGTAAATCCAATTGCAGACTCCATTCTCTCTAAGCAGAGCCCACTCAACAGACCCTCCTCTCCCATCATCCACCCTGTATTTCCTTTGCCTGCCTCAATATCAATCCCTTACCATAGCCATTACCCACCCCCAACTCCCCTTTGCCCTCACCTTTTACCCCTTAACCATCAAGCCTTCCTTATTCTCTGCGTCAACCTCTATCATAACCCCATACACAGTACTTGATATACTTGTTGCTGCTTTATACTCGTATGCCTTTCCAAAAAAATGATGTAACGTTTAATTCATGTTCACTGAAATGATTTTTTTTGTAAAGATTTCACTGCCACAATCAGAATGAATGCAAATCATTAAAATTCCAAAATTTTATAAGTGTAGAATACACTTGTATGTGTTTTCTTTTCACACTTTGAAACCTTCATTAACCACTTTCTCCTCAGTATATACTGGAACATAATTGTTAATCTGCAAATTTTCATCTCAGTCTCAAAAATAGTCAATGATAGGAAAAGCACAGAGCTTAATTATCACATTGCTCAGTTATGGTACTGGATCATTTAAATGGAAGTTTCCAAAATTATGAGGGGCATGGATAGGGTGAGTAGCCAAGGTCTTTTCCCTAGGGTAGAGGAGTCCAAAACTGGAGGGCATAGGTTTAATGTGAGAGGGGACAGATTTAAAAGGAATCTAAGAGGCAACTTTTTCACACAGAGGGTAGTGCCTATATGGAATGAGCTGCCAAGGAAGTGGTGGAGGCTGGTAAAATCACACCATTTAAAAGGCATCTGGATGGGTACATGAATAGGAAGGATTTAGAGGGATATGGGCCAAATGCTGGCAAATGGGACTAGATTAATTTAGGATATCTGGTCAGCATAGATGAGTTGGACTGAAGGGTCTGTTTCCGTCCAGTACATCTCTATGACTCTGGTTGCTGTGAACATCCATGATAACATAAATGTTGGGATGCAAAAAATGAAGCCATGTCATAGCCAGATCATCTTAACAAGAAAACTCCTAGTTTTTTCTTATTATTATTTAAGGGAGCCATGAGACCCTTGTGCTATTTGGAAATTTGTACTGTATTGAACCACAGTATAATAGACTTCCACTGTAGTAGGACACCATCCATTATACAAAACATTTGCTCACTAATACTGTTAACATTGCTCACTAATATTTGAAACATGGAATACAAAACCACAGAAGGGGCAATGTTTCCTGAATATTATTGTTGCCAACATACAAAATATATGAGAAACTGGTCATCCAAGTGTGATGTATCAGAATTCATCACTAGCCCTGCCCCCTCACCTAGAGACATGTGTTCTCTTGAAAGGGCCAATGTTGGTCAGTTTGGGAAAACAAATAAACTATAAACAAGCTATGAACAAACTGAACCATAAGGAGAGGCTGGAAAAACTCAAGTTGTTTTCTCTGGAGCAGCAGAGGCTGAGGGGAGACTTCATAGAGGTCTGTAAAATTATGAGATGCATAGATAGGGTTGACAGTCAGAATCTCTTTCCCAGAGTTAAAGTGGCTAATATTAGTATGCGCACATTTAAGGTTAGAGGGGGAAGGTTCAAAGGAGACGTGAGGGGCAAGTTTTTTACCCAGAGAGTGGTAGGAGTCTGGAACCTGCGGTCAGGGGTGGTGGTGGAGGCAGATACCGTAGGGGTGTTTGAGGGGCTTTTAGATGAGCACATGAATATGCAAGGAATGGAAGGATATGGACAAAGAGCAGTTAGAAGGAATTTGGCATTACATCATGGGCTAAAGGGCCTGTTCCTGTTTTGTACTGTTCTATGTTCTAAATGATTTCACTCCTATTTCCCTCGACGACAAAAAACTAGTGCAGATTTTCATTCTGTGTTCAGACAATTCAATGCAGTATATTGTAAATAAAGGGTGATCTGGGGTATTTCAGGAAGCTTGTGCCAAAATTGGGAGAACTGTCCCACAGACTAGCCAAATGAAAAATGCATCTGATTGTGTCAGTATTGATAGGAGGAGCCACTGCTCAGTCCATGGCAAACAGACAATTGCCTCTGTTTGTGTTGTGCGGTGTTAGCAGACCTCAAACAGATCAAGCAAGTCCAGACTGGGGACTGATGGGCATCATCAACAGCAGAATTATATTCAACCACAATCTGCAACCTCATGGCTTGGGAGCATTGCTACTGATGCCAGGGGATCAACCCTGATTCGATGAAGGAGCAGTGCATACCTAAAAAGGAGGTCTCAAAATGGTGACTCTGCCAATCAGGACTAATTTTGCACCAAGCAGCATAAGCAGCCTGTGATAGGCAAAGCTAATCCATCCCAAATCTTATCAGATCTACGCTCTATCGTGCAGCCACATCCAGTCCTGAATAGTGGTGGACAATTAAGCAACTCACTGGAAGAGGTGGCTCCAAGAATATCCCCATCCTCAATGATGGGAAAGCCCCGCGCATCAGTGCAAAAGATAAGCCTGAAGCATCTGCAGTATTGTGCTTTTATAATGATGCTGAAAAATCTTCAATGTGAAGCGCCGAGTAAATGATCTATCTCCGCCTCCTCATGGTGTGTCCATTATCACAGCTTCAGCCAATTCAATTCACTCCTGTTGAGATCAAAAAACGACTGACAGCACTGGATACTGAGAAGTCAATGGGCCCCAGCGACATTCTGGTGATAGTACTTAAGACTTGTGCTCCAGATTGAGCTGCACCCCAGCCAGCTACAATACTGCAATTTACCTGGTATTGTGGAAAATTGCCCCAATTGTGAGCAGTCCACAAAAAAAGGACAAATCCAAACGAATCTGATTGCTACAAACAACAGTAGTCAGGAAGAAGGATAAGGTTCTGCAGGCAGATTTTACGGAGCTAGGAAAGAAACTAGCAAGCAGGATCCCAGAAGTAACAATTTCTAAAACAACAAGGTGCAGGGCTGGATGAACACAGCAGGCCATGCAGCATCATAGGAGCAGAGAGGCTGACGTTTCGGGCCTAGACCCTTCAGATTACTCCCACACATGCCAGACATCAGAGGGTAGATCAGATGATTGTCATTGGAGACTGAGTGCAGGAGGGACAGTTTAAGAATCCTGGGGCAATGGGATTGGTTTTTGAGGAAGTGGAACTTATACAAATCTGATAGGTTACGGAGAAATCCCATACACATTAGAAAACCACTCAACTGAACTCAGTCAAGGCAGCTGGCATTCCCAACTTTATCCTGATGGCACAGCCAGATTCCAGATAGATTTCAGAAAGGTTAATGCCATTACAAAGGCAGAATCCTACCTAATTCCTCACTTGGAAGACTGCATTGTTAGAATTGGCAGAACCAGATTTCATACCAAAATAGATTTGTTAAAGAGATACTTACAAGTTATTGCTTAAATGTTGCTATTAGGAGACAAGAACTTGAAGGTTTTTGACTTGCACTTATCAGAACCAGGAGGCAAGGAACAGACTTGAGCAAAAGGTCACCATTTTATGCAGCATGAGAGGGTGCTGAGTGGTTGGTGAAACAACTCCACAGAAGCCGGTATCATGTCACCAAGTCATCTTTTATTGACACTGATCCAGCTCCCTCAGAGCCAGCTCTCAGAGTACAGAACCTCTGACACTCCCCAAGTGTCCCCTTGAGTCCAAGGACATAGACTGGTTCTTTCTTTGTAGCTCTTCCTGGGGCGTTTCAGCACCGGGTCAGGTTCCTCCAACTCTGCCTCTGATACGGGCAGTGTGTAATGCGCAGTATCTCACCTCTTGCACCCGGAACATCTTGAGAGAAATTCACTCCCTTCTTCCAGTGGCAAAGGTATTGAGTTGGCGAGATCCACCATGTCCATCTCAAATTCAGAGATCTTTTCAATAGTTGACGGAGAGAGAGAAGCCATGGGATCTGACAGCCTTTCCAACTGTTCCGAGAAGCAGGACACATTTAGCTCCTGTGCCGTTTGTGAGTTTGCAGCTTTCATATGGTCCACCTGCTTGTTCAGGACTGTCACACCTACCTGAACTTTATACGCCACTGGACCTGACCTCGCATTAACCATGCCTCTTGTCCATGCAGGGCCAATCCTGTGGTACCTGCACCAGACTTTGTCCCCTGAAGCGAACGCTGTCTCTCGCTTAATGGAGTCTTGTGTCCAGCACTGGCGTTCCCAATATAGTTTTACCCTGTTTCCCCCCCAAACCCCAGGTCCGGGAAGATCAGATTTAAGCTGGTTCAGAGTGTTCCCTCCATCAGCAACTTCTGCTGGAGCTATCCTTGTAGGAGCATGAGGGGTGGTCCCATAACCAAATAGGAACTGGGACAGTTCCTGAAGCTGTAGGCTGTTTCTTTAAGCCTGCCTTCAAAGTTTGGACTGCTCTTTCTTCCAGACCATTGGTTGATGGATGGTATGGAGCTGTTCTTATATGCCGAATACCATTCGACTTTAGGAAATACTCAAATTCCCAGCTGATAAACAATGGCCCATTGTCTGTGACCAACACTTCCAGGAGTCCATGTATTGCAAAAGATGTGCGCAGTTTTTGCAATACATGTTTGATGAAGGAACTGTATGAACGTCCAACTACTTTGAGTGGGCTTCCATGATGACTAAGAACATTGAGCCAATGAGAAGACCTGGATAGTTGATGTGTAACCGAGTCCAGGGTTTACCCGGCCGTTCTCATGAATGTGGGGGAGCTGCTGGTGGTAATTTTTGCCTATGTTAGCACTCTGGGCACTGTCTCACCAACATGGCTATATTTGCATCCAATCCTGGCCACCAGACATAACGTCCTGTTAACATCTTCATTTTGGAAATCCCTGAATGACCCGGGTGGAGTCCAGCCAGTATCCAGCAGTGACCCTTGCTTGCAACGATCACTCTTGCTCCCCATAATAATGTGCTGTCCTGTACTGTGATCTGGTCTCTCTGAGTCCAAAAAGCTTGCAATTCTGGTTGTGATGGCTGTTTGGTTTCCCCCATCACCACTAGCTGTTTCAGTTTTGCTAGGACCGGACCTTTCTGTGTCCAAAGTCTGGTATTGTCAGCTGTGACTGGAGGTCTGTCAAGAAAATTTTAAATCATGATGGACTCTTCCAGTGGCAGTACAACTGGTGATGTATCTGCCATTGGGCAGCAGCTTAAGGCAACTGCATTTGCTACTTGTCCTCCCAGACGGTGTTCCAACTTATAATTATACACACTTATCATTAGACACCACTGCTGAATTCAGCCTGAAGCTATGGCAGCACTGCTTTGTCGTCTTTAAGTAGACCTTTCAGGGGTTTGTGGTCTGTTATTGTTACAAATTTACATCCATAAAGGTATTAGTGGAACGTCCTGACTCCAAATATGACTGCCAAACCTTCCTTCTCTATCTGGGTGTAT